ACCGCGGGAATTCAGCAAGTACGTAACATCACAGATGTTCAGTCCCGAGGTAAGTAACTCGTACGAGTTGCTGAAAGCATCCCTCCTCAGGAGAAACGTTCTCACGGACCGACAACGTCTAGATGAATTATTTCGTAACATCGAGTTAGGAGATCAGTCAGCCGTGAGCATGCTGACAAGAATGAAAGAAGTCGGTCAAAGTCAGTTCGACGAAGGACTGTTTAGAGAACTCTTCTTAACCAAGCTGCCACAGTCTGTACAGACCGTACTTGTGACACTTCAGGGTACTGTAATAGAGGACTTAGCTATTACTGCAGATAGGATTCTAGAAATAACTAAACGGTCAGTTCCCGAAATATGCTCGATGACTAAGCAGACTTCGAGTAAGGATCCTGCAATGATAGAGTTATGCAACTCCATCCAGCAGATGTTTAGGTCGAACATGCATTCTAACTCCTCCGACCGTCGTCCTAAATCTCCTCAACGCAGGAACTCACGTGGTCGATCTAAGTCCAAACCACGTTCACTGAAAAACCCTGACTGGTGCTGGTACCACAACACCTATGGCCAAGAAGCGAAGTGTTGCCGTAAGCCTTGTAACTTCGGAAATGTCTCAAAGTCTGTGGGAAACTATCCCGCCGGCACGCGTTAGCGGCAACCGTCGCCGGTGGCACTAGCCGCCTTCTTTACATCCATGATGTGATAAGCCAGACTCGATACTTAGTCGACACAGGCGCCGAAGTCAGCGTCCTTCCTGCTACAGCAGCAGATCGACAGAAGGAACCTACCTTCAACTTACAGGCTGCAAATGGAAAACCAATCGCAACCTTTGGTAGGAAATACGTCTATCTGAACGTAGGTTTACGCAAACCTATTCGATGGATTTTCCTTCTCGCTGACGTTACAATGCCCATCATTGGCACGGACCTACTTAATCATCATGATTTACTCGTAGACGTCCGCCGAAAACGACTGATTGACAATACTACTAGTCTGTCTATCAAAGGCATCACCCGCATAGGCCCTAGTCTGTCACCCGTTAAGATAAAGGCAATCCTTGATCCAACTTTTCAACCTATCGTTGACAAGTATCCGGAACTTAATTGCCCGTCGAACGACCTACCGTGCATAACCAGCAATGTTATGCACCACATCATTACCACAGGACAACCTGTGACATCTAAAGCACGACGATTAGCTCCTGACAAACTGAGAATCGCCAGGAATGAATTTGACCATATGCTTACCCTTGGCATCATTCGACCTTCGAATAGCCCATGGGCATCCCCACTTCATATGGTTCCGAAAAAGGATAGCAATGATTGGCGACCCACCGGTGATTACCGGCGAGTGAATGCCAAAACAACCCCTGATTGCTACCCGTTGCCTCATATACACGACTTGACGGCAACCTTATCCGGCGCGACTATATTCTCCAAAATCGACTTGGTTAAAGCGTATAACCAAATCCCGATGGCAACAGAAGATATCCCGAAAACGGCTATCATTACGCCTTTCGGACTTTTTGAATTTCTACGTATGCCATTCGGTCTCCGGAATGCAGCCCAAACATTCCAACGCTTCATTGACGAAGTATTTCGCGGTCTCGACTTTGTATACGCATACTTAGACGACTGCCTCATTGCCAGTCCAGACAAGGAAACTCACCTTAGGCACTTGGACTTGGCATTTGAACGGTTACGCCAACATGGTGTTACCATTAATATTCAAAAGTGTCAAATCGGTGTTGACTCACTCGACTTTCTGGGTCACACTATTGACTGCAAGGGCATTCGCCCACTGGCTACTAAGGTCGAGGCTATACTGAAACCGGCCCACTTGGAGGGTAATCCTATTAGCATAGAGCTCAACGTACCCCAAAATCCACAAGTAACAGAAGATCGTTCACACGATGGCCGGAAGCAGTACCCATCAAGGACGTATCTGCTGAAACAGTCGCACGCGTCTTCGTAGAAAGGTGGATCGCTAATTTTGGATGCCCATCTTCCATAAAAACTGATCGCGGGCGGCAATTCGGAAGTGGCTTATCCTTCGCCCTGACTAAAATCATAGGTTGCATGCGATTTCGAACAACAGCCTACCATCCTCAAGCTAATGGTATGGTATAACGTCTACACAGACAGCTGAAAGCTGGTCTGTCAGCCGCAAACACCACCCATTGGACTGAATCCCTTCCGTTAGTTCTCCTAGGGATACGAAACGCCTTGAAAACCGATGCTGGTTGTACTAGCGCCGAGCTAGTATATGGCACGACACTACGACTGCCTGGTGAATTTGTTTCTCCCTCGAGCTTCCCACCAGTGGTAGATCACGCTTCATACGTCAGCAGGCTTACAAACGCAATGCGTTCAGTTAAACCTGCTCCCCTTCGTCCACAGTCCATTGATGTTTTCGTTCATCCGTGTTTGAAAACTCCTTCACATGTACTTGTTCGTCGCGACTCTGTGTGCAGACCCTGGAACCCCCATACGACGGACCCTATAAAGTAATCAAACGTTCTGAGAAATTCTTTGTCTTGGACAAAAACGGCCGCGAGGACACCGTCAGCATTGACCGTCTGAAACCGGCTTACATGGAGGGTAATCCTATGAGCATAGAGCTCAACATACCCCATAATCCAGGAGTAACCGAAGATCGTTTAGACCTCGATGAAGTCACTAGCACAGCGACAGCTACCGAACGTTCTATCGAGCCTCCCAAGAAAACCCGTTCTGGACGTACCGTAAGGTTCCCAGAATATCTGCACACCTGTTTGACATAACGAAGTCGTGTGATTCACGCAACTCATTCGTTTGTGGTACTGACTATTTTTTTTGACGTATCAATTTTTTTTATATACAGTACCACCGAACACAAAAATAATTTTTTTTTCAACAGTTCATGTAACATACACAAAAAAATTAATTAGATGTATTTTTTTTTCGATGTTCTGAACTTAGCATTATTTTACTGTATAGTAAATGCAAATAATTTTTCTTTAACCAAAAAGCTCATTTCGTACATTTTCTTCGACATGGTTCTTAGCGTTCTTGTTTTCTTTTCCAGGTGCGACGGGCACTGGACAGGAAACAAACGAAGCACGGAATCCAACGAACAACACCAGGAAGCTATGTACAAACACCCCATTAGCATAGGCAGACAAACCAGTAGGCATAAGACCAAGCCGCTCGAAAGATTTTTTTCACCCGAAAGGGAACCATCGAGTCTTTTTTACTTCCGGCTGGTTCTGTCTTAGGGTCCTCACGACCCCACTAGGGGGGAGTGAGCTGTAGCGGTAAATAATTCCCCAAAATTATTGACCACAGCAATCACTCATTGGATGCTGACCACCACTGTTTGAGTCGACTTGTTTAGCTGAAGGCTTCCGGTCAAGCTTCCCCGCCATTTGGTACCCCGTCGTGTCACGTGCACGATCACTAGCCAGCTAAGCGTTCGTCTGACGGTTTGTTTTGGTCCCTAAATATATCACGTAGTTTGGACGATCAAATATTGGCTTTTGCTTTGTCTTTGGTACGCGAGAATAAATTAATTAGAAGTTGCTGAACGAGATATCCGTCAACCTTTAAACCGTTGTAGCGAAAGGTTTAGAAGGAAGGAAATATGCCTGCCGACTAGAAGACAGGCTACCTTGTCAAGCTTCCAAAGAGCGGTGGCTTACGCCTAACTCTGCAAGAGCTGATGTGGAATAATCCTCTTGTCCATGCCAAATACAATACAAAGTCGCATCGTCATGGAAGAAATAAAAGATGCACTAGGCACAGAACTCCGCCAGCTCAGAACAAGCTGGATTTAAAGAAGATTCAAGAAGACTCCAGAAGATCTGGATTTCGCTGATGATATGTTTTTAATGCCACACAAACTAGAAGAGTAGCAAGCGAAAACCAACAAACTGGCTGAAGAGGCAGCGATGATAGGACTCCAAGTGAACATAAGTAAGACGGACCGAAACAACAACAGCAGCCAGCACCAATCGCCATCAACGGAGAGATTTAACAGAGGTTGCCTGCTTCACCCCCTCACGAATTATCGTTTCAACTACAGGCAGAGCGGATGAAGTAGTCAAAGTCAGAATCGGAAAGGCGAAATACTCCTTCGTCAACCTGAAACCAGTTTGGAAATCTTCGTCACTCAGCATAAGGGACAAGATTCGCATTTTCAACACCCATGTCAAGTCAGTCGGTCCTTCTATGCTGTTCATAAACTTGCACTGTATGTCACGAAAACGATTTCCAACAGGTTGAAGACTATCACCAACATCTGCTTTCGTCCATTCTGAATATCGAATGGCTAAAAAGAATTAGTAACAAAAACTCTGAGAACAAAGCGACCAAGAGCTGACTGCTCAGCAAATCTGTAGAAGAAAATTGAGATGGATCCTGGATATATTGCAGAGGTCGTCGAATGACATCGAAAGCCAGGCTCTGTAGTGGAATCCAAATGGGAAGCGACGAGTGGGTTGTCTTAGGGCGAAATGGAGGAGGTTGAATGAGGAAGAGATGAGAGAGTTCGGTCAGTCGTGGACACAGCTGAAGAGGATGGCAGAAAATAGAACGAAGTGGAGATGTGTTGTTGAAGCCGTATGTTCCACTTGGTACCCAAGGGAACAATAATAATAATAAAATAATGTTAGTCATGTAACTTTACTTGAACCTGTGTGTCAGCTTTAGAGCTTATGGATAAGAGTGTCTATCATGGATATTTAGTGTCATCATTATTTTATTTTAAACATGAAGATGGGTATGAGTCTGCTTTATTTTATCACATTAGGGGAGAATCTCCTTTCATTCAGAATACGCGGGGAATGTAGTCCTTTTAGGCGTAGACGCTGACAGCATAGGAAAACACCTGAATACAAATTTAAATATCTTTAGAGTGGTGCGTAACTGTACCATACCGATTCCATCGAATCTCTGGGTCGGTTACATACCTAACTTATGTAATTAAAGAAGGTCAACGTAAGTGATTCATAAATGATTAGTACTGAACAGAAGATTATATTTAATTTATTGTTTTATCACACTTATCTGATCAAAACAGTGAAATTAAAAAGATTAAATAAGTAAATTTATGAAGATAGAAAAAAGATGAGCAGATAATGAAAAACTTTGATGTAAATGAATAGAGAGAAAGGTAAATCCGATATTTATCTTGATCATAATCAGAGAAAGCAACTCGAGTGAAAAAGAGCCAGATATATTATTTCTTCAGATATGAATTGAAAATATACCACTTTAACTTTAAAGAGGGGATGGCTTCTCTTCATAGAAATAACAACTGACAGAAAAATATTGTTCATAAGCTTATTTAACAGCATAATTTATGTTTGATCAAATAATACATAATTCCAAAAATAACAAAATACTTAAAACAAAATAAACTCATGAGAATTTCGTTGACCATTTAATAAACTTCGCTAATGATATTAATTATGTATGGTAAGCAACCATAAAATCACTCCGATTACATTTAAAAAAAAAATCAAAATAGGTGTTTATCAAAACTTTTTCTGATTTTAAAAACAAAATGACAATGCCTAATGGCTCAATTTCAGAATGGTGTCTTCGATTAAATATTTTCTTCAAAGAGTTTGAGTGATAATTATAATCAAAACAAACTCAGGCATTGTATGAATAATATATCGCACATAGAAATGACTGTCGCTTTGCTGAGTATTATCCATTTCAGTTTGCTTCAAATTATGATTTTTTTCGCCAAATTCAGATACATTTTACTAGACCGATTTCCGTCCCACAAAACGGGCAGACATGTTTGACATCTTTGCAACAATCCACAAAGAATGGTATAAGAAAACAGCCCAGAACGCCTCTGTTTGTTTTCATAACAGTTTTTATGATTCGGTAATGAGAAAACAGAAAAGCGACTTAGAAGAGAAAAAAGAAAGTATTTTGTAAATTACACTCAACACAAAATATATCATAAATCTTTGTATTTCTGTAGATGTGCTGGTGTGCTAATAATTATTTTTCTTTAGGTCACATCAAACAAAAATGGAAACTAGCGTATAAAATTTGTTTCCGATGAAATAACAAAATCAGAGATGCAATTACTTCATTTACATGTGAAGTCGATGGGTAATACCGTGATAATTCATCAGTTTTTATTCTCTTAATTTATGTCCTTCTGAAATTTATGATTTCAACACTTCCATCTGTATGTTAATTCTGCTTCTTCTGTCTTTGAATGTTTAAGCAGAAATCCCAGGTCATATACTGATAACTCTGACAATTTTGTATTAGATGTATTCATTTCCTAACAGTAGAGCTATGCAGAACCAATTATTAGAGTTCAGATTACTAGGTACTAGTTACATGTAGATGTAATAAGACAACATTTAATGCTTCTGTTTATTTTTACACTACTTTTAATAACGCATCCATAGCACTACAATGAAGTGCTATTTATTCGGAGTAGACTGTCTTCTAAAATATTTACCTATCCTTTGTTAGAATGAAAGTATTAAGTCATCAAAACGTAGCTATCAGTCATAAAAACAAGTTAGGAAATAAAGTAAGTTTAGAATGAAGATACAAGACTGGTCTTTGCATTCAGAATTCATCCTTTAATAATCTCAAAACGTATATATATATACATATATACTGAGGCAAACTTAAATGCTAGAATAATTTTAACAAAAGATGTTTGAAACAAATGTTTGAAATACAAATTCGTGAATTCCGCCCTCTATGCGTTTTGGTTGGATTCTTGTAATTCGGTCATCTCGAAATAATAACACTACGATTACAATAAATTACTACAAATTGGCGTCGCGATGGAACTAAATAACCTTGGAGAATTTCCTCTAAAGGGTTCTCCGCGGGAGATTGCTGATTATCTTGAATGCTTCGACGCGTGGTGCATTTCCAAGAATGTTTGGGATGACAAAATACCAGCTCATTCCATCACTGCTATTGGGCTAGATGCGTATAGCCTAGTGAAGACTCTGTCGTTTCCAGATAAACCCATTTCTCTGCCATATTATAAACTCCGTGAACTTCTGATAGATCACTTCCATATAACTACATTTGAGACCAGAGAGAGGGCTCAGTTCAACAAACTGGTTCGTGCTCCCAATCAGAAGATTAGAGACTTCATTCTTCAGCTCCAAATACAAGCCTTAAATTGTAACTTTGGAGATCAGCTGCATACACAACTACGTGATCGTCTAATTGCTGGAATCAATATTCCTAAGTTAGAGAAAGAGTTAATTCAGATTCCTTCTTGTACCTTTCAAACTGCTAAAGATTTATGTACTACATATGAAGATGTCAACAGTGAATACTCTGCTCCCACTATGTCAGTATCTGATGTCATTGTGTCCAAAGTCAAAAATACAAGTGGTCATGGAAAGCAATCCAAACTGCCGTCCACAGGTAATAGAATGCAGCGAGAGATCAAAAACATTAAGTCGTGTTTATCCTGTGGAAAGTTACATCTACGAAGCACTTGCCGTTTTCGGGGTGCTAAGTGTCACAAATGTGGTAAAGTTGGACACATCAAGACTGTTTGCAGAAGTTCGAATACTTATGTTACTCAGAATTCTTATAATTCTCCCAATCTGTCTAGTAAAATGGAGTCAGTGTGTCTTTCAACTTTTCAAAATACTCAATCTCATCCAATGAAAACCTCCACTACAAGTTCAGCAACTCAAGCGTCAACTGTTTCCAAAAATGAGGTAGCCGAGTTACAATGCGAACTGTCGAAAACACGAGAAGAACTGAATGAGATGAGAGAGCAACTGATTAAAATGGAGGAATTGTTGCATATGCATAGACTGCGTCTGTTGAATGCAGAGCATACAAGTACCCGTGAAAGTCCTGCAAAACTTTTCAAATCTCGAATTCTCAAAAAGCATCTGATGTCCACGACTTCTAATGTACATTATTACAAAGGGAATGACTATAGACCTTCTGCTGGAATCATACTACAAAAAATGGGAAATCGAGTGGTGAAGATATTAGACATCAAAGATCACTCAGTTCATAACGGACACCTGGACAAAGTGACAATAAATGAAGTAGGTCGGTCCAATTATGATATTAATAATTCCGCTACTAATCCTGATTTTGTAGATAATTCTGAAATAAGTCCAGATAACAGTGATGAAAATAATATCACAGAATCAGTTAGAAAGTCGCAGCTACTTGCAAGCAAACCAAGACATCGTTATAAATACTCAAGGAGATATTCGACGTGTGGCGGATGTGGTGATTGACAATTTCTATCTCTGTATTGTTTAAATACTTACTGTTGATTGCTAATATGTTTCATATATGAATTGGATTAGAATTCCGCTAAATACAAATTCGTGAATTCCGCCCTCTGTGTTTTGTTTGGATTCTTGTAATTCGGTCATCTCGAAATAATAACACTACGATTACCAATAACTACAGCAATTTGTTATGTCTTTATTCTTCTATAGCCTCTGGAACTCAGTGTAGTTACCAGCGTCTTATGCTTACTGATATCCTTTTTAACTTGAAGATAACAGTCAACTCTGTCAATTTACAGCTGATGTAGCATTTTATGCCTGTAAAGAAATTAACGGAGGAGAAAATAATGCTATTAAGCTTGCCTAGTTAACTAGCTTACTAGTTTTCTAGCCCTTCCCAAGCCCGTGTAGAGAGGGAGGGTTGGGCGTGGGGTTAGCAACCCAAAACCAATAAGCCTGTCAAATCGCTAGAGAAACTTCGACGCACAAAAAATATATTATAAATACAGAAACTTCGAATAACAATCTTATTCTTCGCTGGAATCGGAGAAGCGAAATGACACAGCTAGCTGATGAAAGACTCCGGGAAGCCAGTCAGACAGCCGTTGTGCCTTTTCCCGACGAAAACAAGAATAAGAATGAGGACGCGGAATGTCTCTACGGTGTATGAGACTGGGAAGGCTACCCAGGTAGCCAAAGAGTTGCGAAGATGTGGTATAGAAGTGGTGGGTATCTGCGAAAGCAGATGGAATAGTTGTGGACTGACAACATTGTCAAATGGAGAGTCAGTAATCTACTCCGGTCTGGTCATCCGGGCGACAACGACGAACACACTGAGGCAGAGAGTTACTATCATGATGTCACTAGTGGCAGCCAAGCCCCTAATGCAGTGGAAACCAGTCTCTTCCCACGGGACCATGACAGCAAGATTCAGCTACAAAGGAAGGAAGGTCATATTTATCATGCAATGCTATATACAGTGCTAAAAACAACGCGGAACAAGAAAAGAAGAAAGATTTCTATAGACGAATACAAACAGTAACGGACAAGATCCCGAATGGTGACATCGAAATCCTTATAGGCGATATGAATGCAAACCAAACTGGGAGCAGATATTACAGGAAGTGAACTAACTCATCATGGGTCGAGAGGCCCTCACCTGACGAAATGAATGAAAATGGAGGATTATTCACAGACTTCTGCACCCTCAACGATTTGGCGATCGGCGACAGCGTGTACAAACACAAGGATATACACAAAGCAACATGGGTTCCGTCTGACGGACACACCACACTACACCAGAGAGACGTAATCTCAATGCTGCTCAAATAGGTGGAGACGGATGCCGGATACAAAGTCGAGAAGAGGAGCAGATTTGGGCGGGCTCAGACCATCATTTATTTCAAGGAACGTTAAAGGTGAAGTTGAAATCCCTGAAAAAAATGAAGACAGGTCACTGTAATCCAAGTTCGATATTCAGAAACTGAATGACATAACTACAAAGGATGCCTTCAATGCATATTAGATCAGAGTAATGTTGGAGCCAATACGTGGCATCACTGAGGAAACCTGTGTGGAAGAACATTGGAACTCTGTGACAGCGATGTTTAAGGAAAAGTGTACAACTGTTCTAGGAAGACGGAAGAGACAAGAGAAGGAGTGACTGTCAATAAATATCTGGAAGCAAATAGAAAAGAGGAGAGGGGGATGGTGAAGGAGAAGATGACTCAATTCAAAGATAGACAAGAGTAGGGGAAGCTGAGTTCGGTGTACACTGAACTGAGTAAATAAGTGAAGAGGAGTGCTCGGAGAGACAAAAGACAATTATTTGACACACTGACTGGTAACTAAAGCAAAAGAGGGGGGAGCAGGTGGAAGAGACCGCAGAACATTATATCAGGTAACTGGGCTAATCGGTATCTGGAAAGAGATCAACCCAGATGATGAAACCAATTAAAGATGCTCAAGGAAACCTGATTACCAAGGTGGAGAAACATATCAAACTATGGGTTAATCACCTTAAACGACTCTTGTATCTGTTGTTAGAGCTGTCTGAAAGACATAATTATAAACAACTACTGACGCAAATGTTTAAGTCCCAAATTGGGGTCATGAGAAAAAACAAGAACAAAGCCTAGCCTTGAGAAACTCAACAACCAATCAAAACAGACTTAACGTGGGCGGGTACCCTTCGCGAATACATCATTGGACTATCTAAGAAACGCCAACAAAGAGATGACAGAACAACCTTTAGAAAGAGAACAGCGAGTCACAAGACGTTTCTTCTCTGCTAACAATTAGGAATAATAGCGCGCATAAAAATTTATAAATATCTGTTGTAAGAGAAAGGCGCAAACAGCGAAGGAAATTTTCTTTTCGACGATTCATTTTCATGAGCCATGCAATCGTAATTATTTCAAACTGAGAAATCGTTAGACCAATCAGATACTGATAAACATTGTCCTCGAAAAATGTATTACATAATGTAAGTCGTACGAAGGGATGACTAATTGTGAGTTAGAAAAGAGGCAGAAGTTGGCATGACGTAATAAGTGTGAGATAAACGCCAATCAATTAGCTAGTGGAAAGGTGATAAAGTGTTTCTTTTTATATAAAATCTGCATGAAAAAGCAATGCTATTAGTAAATAGTAACAGAGTGGTAATAAAATATGGATGGTGGGAATAATAATGATAATAATAATAATAATAAACTTACATAATAAAAAAGAAGAATAAACAAAATTATAGTAAGAACTTTCTCAATAGACGATCTGTTGCCTGGCCCTTATCTTCTGTTGTTACAAATCAACCACCTCCTGCAAGCCGCCCAGAAATACCACCAACATCACACACCGAGCTACCAGTGGACACCAGTCCTCTAACGAAAGCTGAAATACAAAACGGAATCAAGCTGCTGAAGGCCAACCGGGAAGGCGGAAGGACCAGGAGGAATTCGCCTCGAAGCACTAAAAACGGACCCAGAGACTGCCAGAGATGTGATAATGCCGTTGTAGCGGTAAATAATTCCCCAAAATTATTGACCACAGCAATCACTCATTGGATGCTGACCACCACTGTTTAAGTCGACTTGTTTAGCTGAAGGCTTCCGGTTAAGCTTTCCCGCTATTAGTAATAAACTAATTGTCTGTGTATAAAACACCATCGATACTGCGTCTGTTCAAACTTAACTTTTCTGAACTTGAGTCGGCCTACTGGCTGCATTGATTTCAACTTATCACCTGAGACTAAATCATATTTGTTACGATTCAGTGATCAACTGAAATGAAATAATTGTTATTTGATATTCCCGCTTCTTACTTTTGCATAAAATAATAAGACGGAAAGTGTACACCTACTCAGGTATTCGTGTCAGTATATCAAATAGAAAATCCATCATAATGTTTCATATGTCGACTCACCCGCATATAAAAATTAACGCTGCCATAAGCCACGTTAATGCACCAATTTGATATGTTGTTCTTGTCACTGTAACCTGCTGGCAACATTCGCACCGAAAAGATTTTGGTAAACGACCAAGTTTCTTTGCATTATCTCCATCTAACTCTGGGCCTATGGTTGCAATGGGAAATAAGAAATAAAAAATACTAACAGAATGCTCGTAATTTTGATCACCATAAGATTGATGAGCCTTCATGGTTTTAATGTATTCATTTAAAAACTGCAATGCACATAACATCATGCATCTTAGTGGAGAGTAGAACAAAGTTTGTAATCCCTGAACTGATCAATGTAGCTTAATATTTTGAATCGATTATGGCAATTACATACGGAACACTGCTAAAAAAGCACAGAAAATTTGATTCCGAATACCCGAATCAAATAGAATCACAGTTGTAACAGGCTTTGGAAATCACTTAACTAAACTCAAAAAATAACTTAGGTTTTTTCATTGCTGAAACTAACAGTAAACTGCAATTTTTGATTTCAAATAACCCAAGTCAAATGGTAGAGGCTTCAGACAACCCAGGTAATTTTTGTGCTAGCAATATTTGTACAATTGCTTCCGAATCAAGCCTATATATATATATATATATATATATATATATATATATATATATATATATATATCACAACACAAAGTGGCATCAGACTGTGAACCATCAAGAACTAATGAGCATCAAATAGCTTTTCTATCCCAGTTCGAGACATCATCATAAAATAGACACACTGTTTCTCGATTGTTTGTTCCCACGGTCGTTAGGGCGCGACATGAGCATGCTAATATTTAACTATGTACTGGAAATCCTATTCTTAATAATTTCTAACTTCTGCATTGACACGACGTAACCATTATCGATTGTCATGGAATATTCTCATATCCGGACTGTTCAGTCTAACCGGTCAATCGTCCAATTACAATTATGAAAATACATGATGAAGAAGTTGGTCATTGAGCAGTGTTTAATTCTGTAAGCATTGGACTTCTTTTAAGTAGATTTCAACCAAGAACGTTTCTTTGTAACAAATGCATCTTCAGTGATAACAGTACAGTTGTCAGGAACTGTGGCACTAAACAAACGTTGTTACTCACTTTAAAACTAATGTGCATTTATGAATCATTTTCGATTTGTGGAAGGCATCATCTATAATACGGTTTACTTAAGCGAAAATTTCCATTGGAAGGACTTATAAAATCCTCTCAATTTATCCTCTGAATATTCATTTTATATCCATCCGCTTATGTATTTTAAATAAGCAACATTATATCATGATTAGATATAATAATTGTATTCTTGAGAATCAGAGAAACCAGTTGGGAAAAACCGAAACTTAAATTGATGAGATTGGTTTCATTTTAGTAGTCAATGTAAATTTTTATCACGCAAATCACTTTTTCCAGATAACATACAACTTACTTTTACTGATAGATATTCTTGGTGTTGTCGGGGGTACGGAAGTCCCTTTTCCTAGAGTAGCTGTTTTAAACAAAAAATATTGTTTATTAATGGTGACTTATATAAGATAACAAAGAAAACAGTTCCACAAAATAAATAAAACGAGGTGGCAAACATGAGTAGCACACTAAATTTAATGTTGCTTCAAATATTTTTAGGTTTCGGTAATTCTCAACAGTCTTACCAAGAGATGCACCGAAAGATGTAGATTCGTTAATTTTTACGTGTAATTTAGGCTGTATTTTATACTGACTGAATATGAAATTGTTATAAGTAACAAGTATAACTTCGTACTATCTATCTATCTTGACTCTTCCCTCACTAGAAAAAATAAAATCTGCACCATCTATCTATATTTAAGAAAGAATACAGTTTAAGAACACCAAACTAATGATAATAATATCCCCCTAATACCAAACAATGTACACCAAGAGTCATTTTTAGGTCAGGTATACTGCACATTGTGGCCTGGAATTACTTTATATGCTTTGCTGATAATGATGAAATACTGAGTTAATTTATGCAACAAATTAGTTTTAAGCAGAGGATATTTTGTTAAAAGTTGGAGATAAAGATCTAAAGCATCTACTCGTCCATTCTCTGTGCTTTCTTAGCTGCATGTGAACCTTCTACACTTTACACGGTAAGGAAAACTTTACTACTTATAATTTAAAAGGATTTATGGTGTTCCCCCTGTCTGATGCAGAGAATGGTTTGCATCGGCACGTATTTTAAATATAGAAAGGTTGGCATCAGTACTAGTGGAAAGGTTTTGATGAAAGCTTGGTATAGATACAGAAGGCTTATGAGACATCAACAAGTCAGGATTGTATCTGAAAATGGCGTCATATCTACCTAGCCACCAAATGGCGTATATACTGGATAACAATTTGTAGTGTCTTACTTCACGTCTGTGAGGCGTACCTACTGAACATGGAAGGTATCAGTAAATTAGAGATTTTCGTTCATAGGTGATCTTGTTAAACACCTTATGACAGAAGAAGCAGTAGTAGAACAACGAAGCTGGGAAACTTCATTTTATGCGGTGGCTGAGATACACATTGTGCATGCTGAATTGTTTCATTGCTTCTCTAAGGAAACGCATTAGCTCAATTAGGACTGTGTTCGTTTGAAATTATGAACTCTGAGACTGATAAATATATCAAATGACTACTTTTATGGGTGAATTAACTTGTTTGGCCATGGAGTCCTCTGGATGAGAACAACCAGGAATAAGGTACACTTGAGAATATGACTTGCGAACACTCAAAATTACTTAGATTTATTCATCCTATATGATAGCAGTTTTGACTATCTCCAATACTTTTCGTTCAGTTAATTTCTCATAAAGTTTTGTTGTTCGCCTTTATGTTTGCGCTCATTTTGGTTGACTTAATATCACTTATCATCCAACACACTGTTTATTATAACTCTCTAGTATATTTTCATCACTCAGAAGTGTTATCCAACGTCCTAATTTATGTAAGTAATAGTAGTTCTCCTTAAACGATCTTGAACCTTGCATTTTTCAATATCCTATGCTCCACTGCGCTGAAAATCAAACTAATAACTGGATAAAATAGTCTGAACACTCCTTAGGGTCACTTTCATGTTATGGATTTAACAGGACGATCGGTATGTCTGTCGTTGAATTTAGAATCAAGGGGTTTTAGCTTGTTAAAATACATGAGTTAATAAGTGTTAAATTGAGAAATCAACTTATTGAATTAATTTTCCTTTGCTTCCAATGGTGCTAAAACTCAACTTACGCTGTGGCTGATCAGCTTTGACTAATTGACCTTGCTGAATCTGAGCCTGAATGCTTAACGGAACTATGAAAAATGAATAAAGTAAAAGAAAGATAATAAACCTATTGCGTCAATATTCTTAAAGCTGAAGACTTAAATCTTTGTAATTCAACTGAATTCTTAAGCAAATTCACTTCAATATTTCTAACTTCCTATGCTTAGAAAAGTAACATTAATGGCCAAACACCATAATGGCCTATTTTTAACTCTCTTTGTTTGGTATTTTTTGGTGCAGAAAACGCGTTAGCAGTACTAGGCTAATTCTACACTTGAGTGCTTGAAATTATTTATGAATATTTAGAAAGAAATATATGGTTATTAATTATCTTGGTTTATCACATCCATTACACAACCAATAAAAGCACATTTCATTTTATTCATTAACGGAACAAAATTGATTGCAGACGCTGAAATTTATAATCATCGTGTGTGAGAAACACAATCTGAAATAGTCACCATTATATCAAAAGATGTGGAAGTTAAAAAAAACCCACGAAATCAGGTAAAGTGACGGTTAGGACAAAGAATGTATCAGATAGATTCGCAAAGTTAAAGCAGCTGTAATCATAAAAATGCATATATTTTTTCACCAAGATATACACAGTATTTAGAAGACAGAAAATGTGGATTTTTTCTATACACAGTATTGTTTAAGTTTAATTCCGTAAATATGTAAGTGAAATATCCGGGAATTTCATGTTGAAGTCCAATAAGAAACAACTTAATATGTTTAAAGATGCCTAAGATTTTACTATTAATGTCATGTAAAAACTAATTAATTCTAAAATTTTAACAGAAGTTACATGTGGATAAATTTTAGATGCTACTAGACGCCTTGGAGTTATTACACTGTTGTAGAGCCTCCAGATATTAGCGTATGTTGAAACAGCTCTATTACATCATTCGCGTGGATGCACGGATAATAATAAATAATAAATGTAGTAATTTGTGCTTATTTTCTGTTTTTGTCTGATTAACATTAAATAGCCAAATAACTGACCGAGTGGTGTAGTTTGTTTGTCAGATATATCCCACAGTGAATATTATTTATATCAGGATGCCTTAGACACAATATATTTCTCACTCCACAATTTTGAAACTTGGTTTTTAATTAAGTGAAATTACTATTTACAGCTTAGCACTCTGACCTTTTTATTAAACCTCATATTCATTAGGTGACATTAGATAAACTAAATCATCTTGTTTTATACAATAAGTAGGATCATTTTCTAGATAAATTTTATTTTTGATTTAGTGTGTAGTTCCAAACATAACTTTGTTCCCCGCACAAAGTTTCTGAAGTACTTTCCCTGAGATAGCAAATAAACAGGTCAAATTTGTAGTCCGTGGTCAGTAAAATTAAGGCAGTACCATAAATGAGGAAAATGCAGAGTATTTAACTTCACTATGATGAGAGATCACCGACAGCTTTGTTTGTAGTGTAGTAACACACAGATATACACTGGAATAGAATGCAGCAATAATTCGGAGAACTAACACTGCAGGATTGAGGAAGAGACCAACAACTAAGACAGTATTTATCCAGTAAACTTGAAGTGCATGCGTTAGAGATCACTTAATATCTGACTCAGATATCTTCAGAACTCAACAGTATTTTTGAAAACAAAAGAAAAACATGAAATCCCGGGAACTAAGTTTAAAAACTGTGCAGTTGAATTTGCTATCAGTTTGGCAGTAGACTATGTAAAACATTATATCATAAATCTTTTTCACAGTGTGATTTATCAAATAATCTAAATAATATGAAACTGTTAGCTACAACATATTCCAAGTCCTAAGTTTATAATAAATATTGTTTTTGGATTTATGATTTGGGTAATTGAAGAACTGAATACTGAAAATGAGTGAATTTACGTTGAATGTTAGAGACACACTTTATGCATAAGATCCATTCACCAATAGAATTATATACACTATCAAAAGAGCGCCAAAAATAAACAGTTAAAATAGTATGGATTATGGTCACTTGTAAACACACAAAACTGAAGACCAGACATAACTAAAATTAAATAAACAGACTCTAGTAAGATGAAAGTTGATAGAAGTGTATGTTTCTACTTAATATGACATTTGAAACAAAATGATATGTATACACATGTTGGCTAAATGCCAATATTCTTTTGAAATGATGAGATCTTTTTACACCACAAGACTGTAAGTAAAGATGATTTGTTGTGAAATTAACTTTTCATCATAAATACAAGCACGGAGATAGTTATGTTTAGTGAACATGAATTTACATGTCCATGGGATTTACTTTTTTCTTACAAAAAACGTTAACATTTTGTTAAGCAGTTACAAAGTGAAGTTGTGCACCAAAACGGTTAGAAACCTATATCTGTTCAGTTGTACTGTTTTGATAGACTTCTTTGTATGCAGTAAAAGCTGTACTATTCTCTTTGTCAATTCACTAGATCCGGACAATTGAGTTCGAGCAGTAAACACGTTTTACATGCTTTTAGCTCATCGACATTTACGGTGGTATATTCACTTCGTATTAGCCTGTGTAAACTCTCATGTAATTACAAAATTTGATCAGATCAAAGTAGCTGGATACAGGTGGGTGGTCGAAAAGTGTCTTTGCAAACTAGTCACACATGAATATCTAAACGTATACTGAGTAAATCTTTGAATAAATTTATACATAATCATATTAAGCTAGCGCATTGTAATATTTGCCTTGTTTTTTATATTATGCGTTTACCTGTCGTAGAATTCCTTAACATACTTCGGTCATTGTTTGTCCTCCAAACGCTGGCATAGTCTACAAGTCAAACACTTTCGAAGGAGTTTTAGTGTTTCAATTACATTTTCAAAATAGAGAAATGAAGAAAGAAAAGACTGGAAGAATAGTGGCATGAAACCAAGTTGAAACCATCTACCGTATCTCTTAACTTTGTTATCACGTTGTATATTAAATTTCAGCTGATATTTAGGAGAAGACATAATATTAATTACTATCCCACAACATAATCCTTGGATTATTTGTAACTCAAACGCTTATCAGTACAGGTTTTGACCTCGGAATGGAGTAGTGCAGCTCTCAGAGAGCGCACAAATTTTCTAAAGGCAACGAAAATGCTCTGGCGATGAGAATCAAGCATGGCATTCTGTTGAACGACTTCTAATACTTGGGATAAAAGTGTATACGTTAACTGAAAAGTTATATCTTAAAAGACGTAGATTTGCATTCATCAAAAATAGAAGTGTTGACTCTTTGTTCCCTTGATATATGAGCTTACTACTGATGAAAAATATTGCTAAACGTACTAGATAGTGGATAAAAGCTTTGAAGCTAATAAGAGTGACTGTATTTGATCAAGAGAAATAATATTGTTTTAGATTTAGAAGAGATAAATGACCATAGGACACAATTTTTACAAAGCATTTGTTTGCCTGATCACCAACTTAATACACTATGTTGCAAAAAAGTTATGGCAGATAATATGCGAGTAAATAGCTCCATATTGTTATTAGCAAGAGCATGCTTATGGAATATATAGTTAGGTGAAAGGGATTTAAATTAGGTTTAATATAGCTTTGATTAAGTACTGAGATACGTTCATCTGAGCACAAGTGAATGAGTTAATTTCTTTCGTGTTTAACCTTTGATATTTTAAGCATATAGAATAGAACTGACCAGCATATAAACAGAATATATTGCTAAGTCTGATCTGTCATAGACTAAACAGAAATTTACTTTTTAGCTGTTCATTACTGAATAAGTGCTTTGTAAGGCGAGACAGTTCATACAATGGGATATTTACGTCTATTCAATGGATTATCAGTATGTTTAGTTGACTTAAGTTAGAAAAAGTTTCTCAAAAAGTCAGAGGAACGAAAACCTTCTGTAAATGTTACACTATTCAGAAGAGTGAGAGAAGAATTTATTCAAAAAGACTCTGTGTAAATTCTTTAGAATTTAGCAAAAGTATTACGTTTATAATATCTTAGATTTATGATTATCACTACTTTTCCCTTAAGTCATACAAGTCTCTAGGATATTACAACGGCTAGTAAATTAAATATCACTTTATATATATATATATATATATATATATATATATATATATATTGTAAATGGACTTTAGAAGCCTGTGCAGGATGAAAATGTGAGTTCTAGCTATAAGAAATAGCTTCGAAGCAAAGACAATCATAAAACGCTACCATAAATATGTCTCCTATTTAACTCCTTTCTGTCATAAAATAGTATGATGATTTGAAACTCCTAATTAGTTTAGTTTCCTTTGCAGTGATGAAATACTGAATCACCTGTTTAAAATATTTAATGAGTAGATTCGTCCCATCCTTAGTTCATACAATTTCTGCCTATGAAAAATAGGCTTTTTGTGATTTTATTATGGGAAAAATGACCAGTAGGTAAATGTGTAAACTTACTGCATGCAATAGACGCCCTCGGAAGATGGTTACCTGGAGGCGTTACTAAGATGTATAAAAATTAATAAATATTTTAAACTATTTGCAAATATTTAAAGGTGATTATTACAAACTGACTGCTTTGCTTATTCAAAACATTTAAATAATTATTGAATATTGAAGAAATTTAATTTTCTTCTTTAAGTGCCTATAATTACGTTTCACTGGCATCTGTTGGTAATAGCCTGCGGCTTGTCTTCCTCGGCAGTAATTGCCCTAATGTTTTTACAATACAGTGGAAAAGTTACAATTCCATAGTTTCACCTAACACTATAATGACACACAATATTGTATAACCTTAATATACATGTGTTTTTAGTTTTATCATCAAAACTTATGGTGATTTGTTGCATTCCAAGTTGCTGATGACCTGTAAAGTACAAAGAGCTGGCTGAAATAACCTTAAGTAATTAACAGAGGTCCGACTATGGTTGATTGCATAACATAATACAAATTTTTACTGAATCATGTAGCCCAATATTTCACTATTCTACTTTGTCAGTAGACTCTGTTTATTATATAATACAGTAATACGATATACACTGAGTTGACGCTATTCCACAGATGTTAACGTAAAGTGAGTTAAAATATGTCATCACCACATGTTGAATTTGTAGTTAAAAGCCACATACTTAATATATGTGTAAAACTTAGGCATTGTAGTAGTTAGTAGTTCCATATCAGTTGGTTTATTAGATAACACTACAAACAATTAAACACAGCTAAGTAACAGGATGGCATAAGATGATATTTTTAAAATCTAATACAACAAGGCGGAGAGAGAGATGGATAACAGAAGCTTTTTTTATTGGATCCACTGAAAATGAATGATTCAACACCTGTTCAGCCAGATATCTGGACGACGACGAATAGGATGGAATAAAGAAAACTATGAAACTAGGATTCGAATTTGTGTAGTCATAACTGATATAATTATTAAATACAAGTTGCATTCGGAACGTCATCCAGTAAATAATACTCTTTCACTGTGTAATATATCCAATAAACATATTAATATGAAATTACATGCTACTACAATGCCTAAGTCTTGTGTATGTGATAATTTCAATCTTTCTGATGCACTTTGCTTCCGTTTCAACCCAATGAAAGTGCAGTGATCAGATGTCATAGAGGTTTTTAGGCAGCAAATGTAGTTCACCTCAACTGATCTTACCATTATTGTTTTATTTAAGTATTATCTGACTAGTTGCATTTTAGTTCTTCATACCTTTCCAAACACTATTCTGATGAATTTTCCATTATTCTATTTATTTAACTGCTGAATAGAATAGTATCTTAGATACTACATGCAAATGAAATGAATATATGCCATAATCACTCTAATCCTATATATATATATGCAAAAAGCATGTACCATTTTTAGTTTATGGGAAGGTCTAATAAATATTTCAAATTGAAATGGTAATAATGAATAATTTTATATTAAACGAAAAACTTACGCCCAGTCGTTGCAGTTGGCGCATTTAAATACGGAGTTGTACGAGGACTGACTCTTTGAGATGAACCTATTTTAAATTGTAAAAAAAGGTTTGAGAAAAGTAATCTGATACACAACTGTCGACACAACTTTTAACATTTCAGTTTCATAAATATTTATGACAATGTTTTCTGTTCAAGTTATTTCATTCTGTGGAAGATAAAGAATCTGATAGAAGAATACGTTTGGTTATGTAGGTTTTGGTAATTCATTCTTAGGTGGAATATGCATATGTAAAACCGTTCGTCAGTACTCAGAATCAAGTATTTTATAATGCGTATATATATATATATATATATATATATATATATGACATCCTTTAGATAACATAAAACCACATTGCAAATGAATTTTCGTCGTCGTTACATTTGAAAACAGAAGGGTATTCTGACTGGTTAGTGAATTTGTAGCTATAATTTAATCTGTCATACCAACTTTCAGCAATATTAGCATAAGTTGTATCAGAGGCACCTCTAGCAGTTATTCAGACAGGTCTTGATTGCACGTATTATAATGCATATTATAAATCTTAAAATACATTCGAAACGCTATGCCTAAAATCATGTGATAATCAAAACAGATATCAGTAATAAAAAGACATATTTCACATTTACATTTTGCCTAAGATTACTTTCGTTTTGAATCACTGGTCACTTTACATAATTTTTCCTTCACGTTCCCAGTGGAATATAGTGCTTCAAGCTAGTGGCTTGAAGTTTCTGTAGCAGTGTTTACTTTTTACAGGATGGGGTTGCTAGCCTCATGCCCAACCTTCCCTCTTTACCGGCTTTTCATTGGCCAGGTAAAGGAGTTCGTCGACCGGAGATCGAACCCCAGACCATGTGCATGGTCGGCGAGCGTCCTAACCACTGTGCCACCATCACTTTAGTGCGGAAAATTTTAGAGCTACTATGTGGTCGTAGGATAACTAATTTGTACACCGGAGTTCATTGGTGTAACTGCTAACCTTTCCTACGGAGATATTTACTTTGTTGACATAAGTAATGAAACAGCACTTACTCTTTTTCTCTGGGTGTGTCAAAATAATTCGAACAATAGGTTTTAGATTCCCCTGTTTTTCATCGGTATCCGTGCATTCGTTACAGCTCATAAGTGAGAATCTTTTTGAATGTTTTTAATTTAATCGAGCTTAGTTATTCACTAAATAACATAGTATTTTTTCTCTCATAAACACTTTACCTCGGTTAAAATATAAATAAATTACAGAGTTCATAACGTATTTATAACTCTTTAACAAGTACAATACTGACTAAGAAAATACTGTACAAAGAGAAACTCTGTGCACACAATTTTGTGCAATCCAGTGTACTTTATGATCAGCCTTTTTGTCCAGGGAACAAAAGACTTTTTGACATTATTCACAGGGAAGTAAATCATTTTTACTGACCTCCAATGGGTCCTCCTGGGCCAGCAGCATTTTGCACAGAATATCTTCTCTTTTCTGAGGACAAGGCTGTAATACGGAATAAGGATTGAAAGCGGATAAGTACTTGAAATAATCAACTTTCTTTTCTTTTGGCGATATTTAAAAGGATGAATTGGATTTCACATATGCAAACAACACTGATATTAGGATTTGAGTTAAAAGGTAAACAGATTTCAATATCCTCTTGTAGTGATTGGGTTAAGAGGAAACGTGGATACGTTTAGTCCATAAGAAGGCTTACATTTTATTTTCTTGAAAGACAGTTTCTTATTATAAAAATGTTTTTTCTCTGACTCAGACATCTAATATAAATTTGCTTGGAAAAATCAGAAATAGTATACCACTACGCTTATAACTGTGACAAAAAACTATTGGTGTAAACTGTGTGCAGTAATTTGACCAATAGATTTAAATTGTTTTAGTTAGCTTCAACGGTTTATGTAGCAAACAGTGAAAAAATTCCTAGAGAAGACATCATGTAAGAAATAGAACAATAAGAAAGCATATCAGAATTTTAGAAATACAAATCACTCCAGAATAGACTGTATCTTTGATTCAAGTGTTTTTAGAAGGAGAAAATTTTCAGACTCAGTAAAGTACTATCGGTTATCAGAAAGATACCAGAATAAACACATGTCTATGAGAGAAATGTTGATTAGTTTAGAAGCGAGCAACTTAAATGAGACAATTAAATAAATTCGTTTAAAAAGTACGTCACCAGGTGTTGTGACAGCAAAGTCAACGTAAAATATGCACATAAGTATGTACATACAACAGAAAAGGATTTAAACAGAGTATTATGAGGTATTTTTATTCAGAATAAATAAGAGGATTAACGATTAGAACATTCTGAATAAAATTGACACATTTAAGTGTGCAGTAGATTTACATAGTGATTTCGGAGCAATCAAATATTGTTCTGTTCTCCCGATCCTGTCTTTCATATCCTTATCCACGCCACCTGCAACTGCAACGAATCCTCCAAAATGAATGAGATAGGTGACTTCCCTTGGATTTCTTCCTCTAATACCTATTGGTGTTTGCTGTAGTTAGTGGTGCTCAGGTATTTTTATCACCCATGTCATCTACATATCTACTTGGAGTTCTGTGTTCGCTGCCCCTTCAACCAGTTTGTTTATTTACGCTTTTACATCTTCAAGTATGTGTTACATGAGAAATAAATAGTTCGCGAAGTCCACATCTTCTTTTTGTTGGTCCACATTATGCTCTTTTTCTCGTATGATCCACATTCAGGAGTATCACAGGTGATAGTGTACCACCTTATCTTACTTCTGTGTTCATTTCAAAGGCTTCTCTGGGATTTCTTTTATGAATCACTTAGCATGTCACATCATCATGTAGCTGTTGAATAAGGTTTATAATGGTTTGTGGCACTTCTCAGTGTTGAAGAAGTTTTGAAGTTACTTAGCGGTTGACACTTTCGAAAGCAAAGATTCTCATTTAGGTGTTTAGAATACAAAAGAAGATCTGACCAAAAATGTTCTTTCCGGTAGCTTCCTCGTCTGGCCCTTCCAAAATTAATGAAGCTCAAGAAAAGAGTTGACAGTAATTTTATACTCTGTTTAATAGTGATGTGTAGTTTTGCAGTAAAGTATATCCACGATTTGCTTTTCTTGAATCCAGTTTGTTATGAGTGAAGTTTCACATCTTTTAGTCTCCCCAGTACTATACGGCTTTCTGCTTGGAGTGGACAGGAGCATGATTCCGCCCCGATTCTTGCAGAGGTTTTATTCTCCCTCGTTTGGTAGTTTAATAAACCGCTCATTTTCATGCCTTCCAAACCTTCTGGGTCAAGTGTCTGTTGAGGTCTCTGGTTCTGCTTTCGGTGCTTTTTAGGGACATCCATCCTGCTTAGCCTGCCTCTAGGCTTTCTGTCTGTCTGTCTGTTTTCGACATAGAACTTTGCACAAATGTGCACCAGTTCAAATCGCCACACTCCGTGTAGCACGCGAAGCAAGAGAAGAAAGTACAAGAAAAGCATAATAGAAACAGTGAGCAGATGTGTGAGACAAAGGAGTAATAAAGAAAAACAAAACAGTTTCATTGGAGATCATAAGTCACAAGGAGTGGATGCATCTGCGCCACTGAGAACGATTTTGAGCCATATCACCAATTGTTTCCAACCATAGATTTTTACCGTCCCGAGGACCCCAGCCTGGAAGTCTACATTTTCCTACGTGGCTTAGACCAACTGTTGTGGATTTCATTGACTGGTGAGGCCAAGTTTTTGTTTGACCGCCGCTAGCTTTTTTCCAGCCTGACCCTATATCCGCTAACATAGCTCGTCGAGGGAGGCGATGGCTTGGCATACGTAACACATGTTCTAACCATCTCAGTCTTTGTAGCTTCACGACTTCGTCGATTGATTTCCCTGTTTACCTAGAACTCGACGCCTAACCTCAATATTGCTCACCTTATTATGCCACTTCACACGGGAGATAGAGCGCAGGCACCTATGATCAAAGACAGCTAGTCTTTTCATGTCTTCCACTCTCAGTGGCCAGGTCTCACAACCATAAAGGAGGACGGAGCGGACTGATGAGCAGTACACACGCCCTTTGGTTGATAGTCGAACATCTCGTCTACGCCAGAGTCGGCGTAAACTGGCATATGCGAAACGAGCCCCCTGTATTCGTGCTGAGATTTCGTCAGAGATCAACCCGTTGGCACTGGCTGATGGTACTTCCCAAATAAGTGGAGCGGTCAACGTGCTCTACCACTTCACTTCCTATTTTTAAACTAGGCGTCGATGTAGTCCACTCCTGTAACATCATCTTGCATTTGGCGGGAGCGAATCGCATGCCAAACATTCGTAGATTGCGGCTCAAGGTGTTTAGAAGACTCTGCATTTCGTCAGCGTCTTCGCCTAGAAGGACTATATCGTCTGCATATTCCAAGTCAACGAGATTATTCCCCGGTAGCAAGTCAATCCCTGAGTCGCTGAAGTCACTTAGGGTTAAGTCCATTAACACATCTATGATGAATTTGACGGACACTACTGGTCGTCATCAGTTCAGATGACAGCTCTCCGTAAGCCCTCACCTGGCTGTGTGAGTACGAGTAGAGTGCCTTAATCAGTGCAATATGTTTTCTCGGGATTCCCTTTACAGCCAAGCATCTCCAGAGAACTTCTCGATCGACAGAGTCGAATGCTGCCTTTAGGTCAAGAAATATAATATCTGTTGAACGCCGGTAGGAATGTCTGTGTTCTGGAATCTGTCGGAGGGTGAAGATATGATCAATACACCCTCTTCCTGGTCTAAAGCCTGCCTGGCTCTCTCGTGTTTGTGCCTCCCGAGCACCACTCAGTCTACGCATGATTATTGAGCCTAAGACTTTAGACTTTCAGTAACTTTTTGGCATTCGAGACTTTTGCTTATGTCGGAAACTCAGTGTCCACTGGCAGTTGTATCTCCTGGTGATACTTCTGTTAGAGTTGCAGGTTGTGACCGGTTCAAAAGTCTCCAGGTGAGCATTTAATCTGTTTCTATTTTTTGATAACTAGGTTTGCTTCATTTTATTTCATGGATTTCATTTAGAATAACGACCTGGTTATCTGATATAGCACTTTGAGGCCCTTCTTACTGGCAACCTGTTCTACTTAAAAAGCGACTGTGTTGTAAAGTTGTATTTTGTCTTTCCTCTCAGTATTCTCCACTTATTTGTTCAGTGTTCCGTAGGTTATACTGAGCTTCTCTTTTATTCACTCATCTCTGCACTGATTCTTCTTCTGCCTCACTATCCTACTTCCATCTATTAACTTCCACATGTCTGTAGGAAGTCATTCCGCGCCTCGCCTCTTCTTCCTTCCTGATAGGGCTACGAAGCTTTCTTTCTACACACATTTACTTGGTAGTGATGTTTCATGTCCCTGAAAATTTCTTGAATAACTAAAGTGAGAATATTCTTTCCAGTTCCGTCCATTAGCTTTCACCGTACGTTGGTTTTAAAACAATTATTTCATTATTGTCATCCCCTTGGATTCCGAGTGGAACATAGGACTTCAGTAGCACATCTATATTTGTTATTCGCTTTGAAGTCCTCTTTAGATGACTTGATAGGTGCTCATAGGCCTTCTAATCCTCCTCACATGATCGTCTCTGTGTCATGCCCGGACTACCTACTCGTTGTGACCCATTCATATTCCACTCCAGGGCCTGCCTGGTGCGTAATATCACTTCGGGGTCTCCTCAGAGTGTATCTAATCCACCTCCACTTTCTTCGCGTTATTTGTTGAGCGATAAGTTCTTGACTAGCTTGTACCCAGAGTTTCTTGTGGCGTAATTTTTCTGGCCATTCAATCCTCAATGTGTAGCAAAGACAGTTGTATATAAAAGTTTGCAGCCTGTTAGAAATGCTTTACGTGACTCACACTAAGTTTCTAACCCAAATAGAAGAGCTGAATGACCTAAAATTGGTGTTGCCAATTTCGCTCTTAATGCTGGTTGAAAGCAGAAGGTTTCCACACTAATCTCAGAGTGATGAAGGTTTGTCCCGTCTTTCTGATAATGTTTGTCTTTTACATCGTCATCTGTGACATCTATAGTTGAGACGATGCTGCCCATGTGAGGGAAAGAAATGACTTTCTTCAGATTTCTTCCGTTGATGGTGATTGGTGCTTGTTGTGGTTGGCTGGTTGGTTGACTTGATCACCTTCATCTTCTGTATGTTCACCTGAAATCCTCTCTTTGCTTCTTCCTCTACCAACTTGTCCGTCTTCGTCTTTAAGTCTTTGAACGTTTGTGATATTTAACATGAATCATGTGCGAAGTCTAGATCTCCTAGGGTTATTTTGTCGGTCCAGCGTGTTTCTGTCTTGTCGCTGTCCACAGTCTACCACATGGTCCAGTCGACCTTAATCAGGAAGATGAACGGTGATTTTAGGCAGCCTTGTCTCACTTTTGTCTCTGCTCCAAAGGCTTAGTTGAGCGTTCTGTTGTGAATCACTTGAAAAGTGTCGTTTTTCATAAAGCTGTTGAATGAGGTTATTAAAGATTTGGGGAATGCCATAGTGTTGACTTTGTTTCCAAATTACTTCACAGTCAACACTGCCACTGTATGTTCTGTTCGATGATGCGTATATTTGCAATTTGCTTATGACTTACTTTTCCTGAATCCAGGCTATTCCGATCACAGTTCTGCACCTATTATCCTCTCCAGAATAGCGCCACTTGATAGTTTGCTTGGCGTGAACGGAATCGTGATATCTTGTCAGTTCTTAGAGAGGCTTAAATTGACTATTTTTGGTAGTTATACAAGGTATCCTTCTTCCTGTCACTGGCGTTAGAATGTCTTCTCTGGTCTTTGTGTCCGTTATAAGTGCTTCCGGAGAAATTCTGTCAGGTTTCCATGCTTTTCCAGACTTCAGTAGTTTGCTGGCATTCAGGATTTCTGCTTTTGTTGAAGCATTGGTGTTCACTGGCAGTTCTGTGTCTGGTGGTTGGACAATGGAAAACCCTACTACAAGCATATTTGTTTCTAAGACAGCCTACATGTGAATAATCTTCTCAGACTGACACAACTAATTTTGAGATATATTGACGCATTATGAATTTTCTATGGCCTGTAATTAGTGGCTAAATAAAATGTTGTGGCTGAGTGCTAGTCTCATATTTAATTGATGAAAAATCTACAGGTAGTTTTGGAGGATATTTTTAAGCTACATTACAAAATGACATTATATAAATCGTCATTAGAATACGATGTAGATAAAATCCTCTTCAATTCACATTTAGAAACCTTCTTCACATTCACAGAAGTAATAAACCGTCAATAACTGAAAGAACTCATGGTACACCCCAAGGTTTAATTCCAGCAACAAATTATTGTTCAAAGTTCAGTTATTTATATTATAGTGCAGATGTTATTTATTTTCACCATCGAGCAACATCATTTACTCACTAAAGCCATGATTCATTTGCAATCATCATGAGGAACTTAGTTCGAAAGACACCTGAACTGGACTGAAAAAGAAGTTCGACATTGTCATATTTCAATTATTTGCTGATTGTTAACTTCTTGTGACGGCAATAACCAGTTTTACGTGAACAGTTATTTTTAAAGGTGTTTTGTTTAATGGCCGAAAATAACTATTTTACAGCAAAAAATAATATTAATAAATAAAATAATATTAATGAAAACAAAAGCTGACAAACCTGTGTCTTTCAGTACAGCTGTGTATTTGAATATAAATGGAAATGTCGATCGGTAAACGAAAAGAAAACAAAAAACTTGATTAGTTTTCTATCTAACGAAAAATGACGTAGTTAGCTCCAGTCAACATCAAATATGACGACAAATGACATTTTTTAAGAGTGGTTCAAGGGAGAAAGAGACAAAATGAAATTCAAGTTATGTTCACAAGTTAGTTAAGAATTGTAATTAGGAGTTTATGACAGAATTATGCCGGTTAGTTAAAGTATTCGTGTTATAAAGATGAAGATCAATTTTAAATTTTAGTGTTTAGATAAACACTTTTAATACACCCAAAAAAGTTCACTCAACAGGTAAGCTCTGAGAAAACGGGAAAATTTATTTGCTGTACATTGCGTACTTGGTGAAAGTTGGTGGATGAAGTTAAACAATGTGCAAACAGTAGTTTAGAATTGACTTTATCTTTTTTGAAAGTAGAAAAAATTGCAAACAAGTATTAAAAAATTACAGTTTTTCTCTCCTTGCAGTGTAAAGAAGAGTGAAGCCTCAGTGTGTGTTAAAGAAAATCACACTTATTTCAAAAGTAAAAATTATGACTGTTAACTCAATCTTAGAAGATAAAACCACTTTTAGAAATGCTGTTGTTGTTATATAACAATTTACAGTTAAATACATCAACTGCTTATATTGTGTCAATTTACACACACTTTCGGCGCTTTTTGCACAACACAGTTTCAAAGCAAATCTACTAAAATTGTGAAGTTTCAAAGTGAACATGGACACCATGCCCAATTTGCAACAAGTAAAATATAATTTGAAAAAAGAAATATTCATGATGGTGCTTCGCTGAGCTAGTAACAAACAACTCTGTTAGGCGCACTTAGAAAGGTGTTTTGTGCTCTAAATGTCACCATATGCATAGTAATGTGCTTTTGTTATAAATGTGAAGAGAGTTAAATCTCAAAATAAAGATTGATCCCCTATTCTTACATAGTCTGCTACTTTGTTTGGGAAATGTTCTTTGATTCTGAGCCAACTGTTCAACGATCGATATTTCAGGTGATTTACGTGCCGGTGGTAACTCTTAGGATTAAAAAATGCTTGGAATATGATTATTATGCACTTATGAAATCATGCATAATACATTTGAAAAAGTGACATTACTTAAACAGGCCCTTTTATGTACAAAGTAGCCATACAATGAGGGATACTTGGTGTTCAGCATTCGTTGGGTTATTGAATGGAATTACAGCTTGTTATTTCGGAAGAAAAACCTAAGTTTGGGTCCTAAAGCTTTAACTTATAACATTGCATCTTAGTCCTCCTCCATATCTTTAATACATTCAGTTAAAATGAAGAAGTGTTATTATAGTACAGACATCCTTGTGCAGCCATCATAATTTTTTCGTCTTGATACTGCCTAGTGGTGTTTAGAATACCAGATTGCTTGTGTAACTCAGTAGGTCGATTTATAAATCTTTCATATTTGAAAGCATGCAAACAATGTCAAGTTCTTTCTGTTTAAAATATTACAATAAACATTTCATGTAAAACCAGGTGATTTTTACTAAACGTAATACGGACATTGGACACTAGTGAAAACTTTTTATACCAGAAGAGTCATTCTGTGTGGTTATTTGAGGTAGTACAGAATTAGTTTTTAAAGAAGCAGATTTAAAATTTATTTCGTATACATAAGTTTCATAATTTGTGTCATCTTCATTTCAATAACTGAACAAGGATTTTTGTCTGATAACAATATAAGATTCGATTAAACTGGAATATCCTAACCCTTAAAGGCAAACTCGGCATAAAGTTATATCCGAAATGAAGTTTAAAATTTTTAGGTTTCTTTGTAGTAAAAAATTTATCACTTGTCAATACCTTATTCATCTTCACAAGGTCCATGAATTACAAAAATTTCGTCTTGAAGAAATATTTAATTTTATTCTGTGCTAGATAAATATGTCATTTAGGCTGTGTAGAGCTTAAATGCCTTATATCAATTTAAGATAAATTTTTTAGCTTACTGATTTCAAAAAATTTATACGTTATTCACCATGATAAATCAGCTTGTTCAAAAGAAACTCTTGGTATAACAGGGAAATTATATAATCTTAAATGTTATTGCTAAAACCTGTCTTATTTTTAGCGACCATTGGTGATATGAAAATTAGGTTTCACTATTTGCTGCTGATTCATATAACAGAGAAGGGGGTTTCATCTTCCAGATACATTTATGAACAGTTCATATCTTCAACAAGTTGAACGAAACCTTACCATCAAGTACCGATAGGAGTAGGTACCAACACCGACTGGTGTTGCTTACAAGTAAGTTATAGGTTTTCCTATTACTAATCGTGGATCAAACCAACGAACAAGAATTCACAGGTCATTACCATATTTTGTCTAACCATACCTAAATATCTGCAGCTATCCTCAGTTTTGCTGGGTGCATTTCTGTGTTGAATGTAGGAACCTATGGGCAAAATTCACAAGTTTTTCTCACCGTGAAACTTCAACCTTTAAGTCCTACAGTAGTAAGACATGAAGGAGTGAACTGTTACGCAATACAAACAGGTTTGAAAAGTAGCCGGATATAACGGTAACAGTGAGGGTTATACGAGTTAATAACTGTTAGAGTAGCCTTTTCAGTATCCTTGCTGAATAGTCGAAAGAAGATAGACCATTAGGACCCATACATCTTTGCAAGTGTAGTGTTCAACACCTTCAACAATCTCACCACCCGTTTGTAAATTTGAAGTCAGTGTAGGCCGGTGCTGCTGTATCAACTAACTTTAAAAAGCGGCGAATACACAACTCTGCACATTGTCAGTCTTTTCGCTTATAAGTATTAGCTCGTCTCTTTATTTTGGATGAATGAGACTTCATTTTGGTAACGAGTTAGATCCCAAATCATCGAAGTCTACCATGCTCACATCCATTAGTACATGACGTTCATTATCCCAGGTGCATACGTTTCAGCCGACAAAATCAAATGCCAACTTCGAGTTAAGAACTGTAGTAAGTATTAGATACCAGAAAGTAATTCTGTGTCACAGAGTGAGTTTATGATGAATCCTCCCTACTTCATCAATCACTCACTCATGGTTGGCAGCACGGTCATAGGGTATGTGTTACTTTCTGGACGGATCGCTCCTAACCAAGGGAACAATCCAGCTGCTGCCTCGCCCCTCAACAGACAGAAGTACTACCTGTCTCTGCATGTAAGCAACTCACCCTTTCTAGCAGGGTGGAACCATTGGCAAAATTCCTCCCAGTTAGTAGCCTTCTGGGTTATTGTGAAATGCAGGCACAATTACCACGTGGATTTGTTGACATGTAGGCGTATATTTACATTAATAAATAAGCAAAGATCAACTAGTATCAGGGAAACCCGCCGACTGGCTGAACTAATTAGATAAGAATCACTAGGAGAATAGTGATCTGAAAACTACCTTACTGGTTATATTTCATACACTTATTCCTTCATATGAATCTCAATAAAGCAAGAACAGCGGTCTGTGAAGAATAAGATCGTGCCATCTTTGATTTCGTCTGAATCTCCGAAATTAATCGAGTCTATGTACGGAACAATTTTAATATGATTGCAAATGTTTCGTAGTGTCAGTTGACTCCAAACTTAATAAACAGTGATTAAAAATCCCACCTATACAGGAGGTTCAAGTTTAAACCAAAAAATAAATGCCTGGATATAGTGCTAGAAGAGCTGCATAATAAACAAGAGGAAGATATGATGATCAGTAGCTAATAATTTACAATGTGGTAAGTTCAATTAAAAGCACAGAAGAAAAAAATAACACCATAGCAAAGAGGAACAGATAAAAGCCAAATCAAACGCAATCAAATGAAAGACAGAGTAAAAATATCCAGCTGAAAGGGCAGAAAAAGACTCATAACTACTTCTTTCTGAACACAAAAATTGATTTTTAGGCGTTTGGTAGCAATAGTTTCTCCACAGTTGAGGAGAAAACTATCTTGTTTATTGATAATTTCAAAGGATTTTGAGATGTCCATCTCATGACCCACTTCGATGAGATGTCTGCTACTGGCACTGCAGTGAGCGTTTTTCCTCTTGATATGTATGCTTTTTTAGTATATGTTCAGAAAATCGAAGGTGTGACTCTCCCAATGCAACTGCTACCTGAGATTCATGTAAATTTATATGCACAGTTAGATTTAACATGAGAAGCGAATCAGTCAATCTTTGATTGCACCAAAGAACATGTTTCTCGAGAAACAGGAATCAACTTATCTGCACTATATGTTTTGGCTAGTGAGGTATTCAATCTTCTGTTCACTATTCCTGCACCTTTAAAATTTAGTTGAATGGAGATAGGCTTCTTATCAATTGTGATTTCTTTGGCACTTAAATCTTCACATTTTCCGTACCAGTTGACGAATTTTTGAGGGTAAACGTTGGTTTTCCTTGAAATTCTCAGAAGAGAAGGTTCTCCAGGCTCTATAAAACAGAGTTTTGACTAATGCATAAGCTATCTAAATGTAATTTCCGGGTATTGTTTATTATGTTTGGAGTCAGCTAAAACTACGAAACATTTGCAAATATATTAAAATTGTTCTGTACATAGACTCAATTAATTTCTGTTTTTTGTATGCAACTGGTGAGATTCAGGCGAAATAAATCGTCGTTCTTACTTTAATACAATTATTGGTGATGAATACTACTTCTTATGATGACAAAAATTTCATCTGTATATTTGACTCTGTCAGAGTTAAATAAATCATTTATAATTTCTGAAGTGTGCTAGTTGAAGCTAAGTCATTCTATTTGAAAAATTAATTCCATTTGCTTTCTTGAATAAATATTATAGGGTTATGAATAAAACAGACATACTTTCTCCCAAGTTTGCGTACGTTAGCTATATTATTCCATTTAAATTGCTGAACCATTAATCTTGAGAAAATTATATCCTCTATTTATTGTTTTTAGTAACTTTACTGTTTCTCATTTTGGTCAATGACTTTAACATAATCACATTCATATATTGCAAATTTAAAAAACATTCAACAACTTTACAAAAAAGTAGTATTTAATGAACTCATAAATTTCGGTGGGACTTGTCAGCTGAAAACCCTACAAACATTGTTATTTATGCATTTTTTTACAAAGGTGAAATATATACAAATACGTGAACATTGTGACAACAAATAAGTATCTCATTTCCAAAAATATACAATCGATGAGTGGGGAGTAATCTATGAATTTATGAATTCATTAAACAGAGCTTTTTCACAGTTGTTGTTAGATTTAAATTATATTTTGGAAAGAAATGTTCCAAGCATATCATAAATGAAGCGAGACAAAAGGTGGATTTTATTCACAAAAGGTGCTAAACTCATTCGTCTTATAATACACTACGAAGAAAGTAGGGCACACTGTTTGTGCACTTAAATATACCAAATATAAAAGGGACTGATTGGTGAGCAAAATTTTACGTAAAATGAGTATATGAGGAAACGCACTCATTTTGCACACACTTAACATCCATCGGGTTAACTCTGTGAAACACTGGAAAGAGGTTTAGACGGTATTATCTGTTAAACTTTTGATATTAAAAACATCTACATTCACAGTGGAAATATCCGTAATTTCAGGAACATTTTGGTTTTAGTTTAATGCATGAAGTTACTTTGGGTCATTTAGTGAGATTAGTTCACTTCAATATAATCTTACATGTGTTTTCGGGAGTGATGGAAAGACCAGGAGCTGATGTCCTGTGCTGAAAACCTTAAAAGTTTTGTATTCATTTACTGTTAGAGTTTTATCAGTGAATATATTTGATAAAATTTTTATTGGTTTAATTTAACTTCTACTCAAAATAATTAGTGTTTGATAGGGGACAATGTTGTCCATTTGAAATTATAACTGCATTAAAAGGTTTGTCAATGAATTACTTGCTGGATTTAAAATATGTGTAATTCATCAAAAGGCTTTAAGAAATACTGAGGCAAACATATTCGAAGTTCAAGTGCTGTGCTAAGAGAAAGGTTCTCTTCACCTTTATGCCTCTGACTACTTTATTGCTTTTAAGTAGCACAAATTAAGTGAACAAAATTTAGAATGCAGGTTGTCATTAGATTTCACATACATTTTGTTTATTCTTGTGATATTCTGCTGCTGCTGTTGCTAGTACTATTGCTGCTACTACTTAGAAACGATAAAAGCATAATTAATGGCCTCCTTGCTGGGTTAAGTACAGCCGTAACATGGATAAGTCAAAAGTAGCTGTTCGTATTCTGTTATCATGGTGGCTTTCTAGCTGCGTTTTCATCCAGTCACTTCTAACTATACAGGGAGCCTTTATTTCATTTTTAGTAGGAATATTTGAGAACTTTGGAGATAGACTGATATTGCCATGATTAAAATTATGATGAATGCAGCACCACCTTAGAATTCAAACCATTAGATGGTTTCGAAACAGTTTCAGAGAGCCCTGCTAATAGTTTCAGGGCTACATATATATAAGTGCCCCAATATAAAGAAACCTCAGATTGTGCCATCAAAAAATTTAACCATTTTCAGACCATGCATATACTTCTATAATTAAACTTCCGAAATTCAAAAGATTATCTGGCGAGTGTCCAAGGTATGCTGTAGAGGGACGTTTCTTTTCATAGTGTTGCACATCTTTTTGACATACTCCATACTTAGAACTGTTAGCAGTAGACGTAAACATTCCAAAACTGTCAGCTGATATATGCATGATGATAATAGAAAGTATCATGCTTATGAAAAAATATAACCCAACAATACGACTGGACAAAATAATGGTCCTTACAACTAAATTGACTAGGTTGACGTTGAGATTATTAGTTGAATTTTTATTCGCTGAGACGAAAACCCACCTGAGTTTTGAGTATATCAGAATCTTTAGGAGGTTTTCCGGCGCCGTCTGTCTTTTGCATGACAACGGAAATTAATCAGATGCACATTAACAGTATAGGTTAAAAAAATCCACGATGGTAAGGATATTTGGTACATTAGGCAAAAAAGACAACTACCGATTGTGTCTTAACTAAGCATATATCTATCATAGCATCAAAATTATCGTTTAAACTGCCTCTGAATCCATTCTACAGGAAATATACCTGAAGACTCTGTAGTTGTTTTCTTATGACAAGATTTTAAACTCTATATATGTTTTGAAAAAACAAGTTTGTTTTGGTGATAATAGATTCGAAACATATGAAATGCATTAATAAATGTAACTGAGGTATGTGCGAATACACTTTTACTTCAAATTCTCCTCCTAGTGAGACGGATAGCCTGCAGAGTCTTGGCTATGTAAATATTCAAAAACAAGTGTTTCTCACAGCTCAGGTATTAAAACTCCAGTAATTATATCCTTATGATTGGTTGTGTTAACATTAAGTTTATAAACACCACACAAATATATAAAATTATACCATTTTATTAATAAACTGAGGTGCGTCGGTGGTGTAGCGGTTAGGACACTCGCTGACCATGCACATGGTCCGGGGTTCGATCCCCGATCGACGAACTCCTTTACCTCGCTAAGCCAGAAACAATGCTGGTGAAGAGGAAAGGTTGGGCATACGGCTAGAAACCTCATCTTGTAAAATTAAACACTTCTACAAGAAACTTCAAGCCACTAGCATGAAGCCCTATGTTCCACTGGGGAAAGTGAAGGAAGAAAAAATTAATAAAATGATGACAAACAAATATCCTTCATATCTTACTAAAAATCAATGTATTTTAAAAAATATGCTCGTGTTTGATGAAATACGACTCTATGTTTGAAAAGACGGATGTCTATATTTGAAGATTTGTCTAACAAAAGACTGATAAATAAAAGAAGACTTTCTATGCACAACAATGATGAATTCAACCATTTTGTAAACAAGATAAGGACTGTTTAGTGTGATAAGAATAAATATACGTATGTCTAAGTAATAATGTTTCTTACAAAACTACTACTTTATGTTGCTAATATGAAAACATAATTTGTGAAACACTTTCTCCTTTATCATTATTCTAAATAAAACAGAATTACAGTATATATTTTTGGAGGAAAAGTTAGTAAAAATGATTAAGATTTACTATCACATGAAGGCAAGATAAGAAATTATAAACTATAAATTACCTAAGAAGAATGGTGACAAAACGTCTATAATTGGAAAATTGATTGAGATGAAAAGTAAATATATTTACTTGGGTTGCCTAAATGTTTATTGAACAGTAACATCTACTTAACTGACATATATGATTCACTTAGATTTGGAATTTATTTAAAAGACAAGGTAGTTCTATATGGGAAAGTATAAATGGTTGACATTTGTAATTATTCTAAAAGTGTAGCAGCATAAAAGGATATAGATTTAGGTAATGAATAAAGCTGCCAGTCACACATACTTTATATTAAATCCATGGCAAAAAGTATATCAGAAAGATTTATCTAAGCTGAATTTTTAAAAAGTCACCTTAGTTTTACCTGCCTAAAGTAGCATTAAGTCAGAAGGTATCAGACTGTAGGCATAAATTAATACTACGTCCAGAAACACAAATTTGATTAATAAGAGATGGATAGGAATATTTTCTGATATCTGACGTAAAAAGAAACTGCTATACGTGTGAATGTGAAAAAAAAGTAGCCAACCTGAGAATCATGGATACTCTTAAATCATTACACGAAAAATTACAGGCTTAAACAAAGTGACAACATTCGGCAATAAATTCATCAGTAATACAGAGGCCTTTATTAAGTGCATTAAGAATTCCATAGATCTAACATAGCAAATGAAGGAATGAATTGAGAGTGAATGCTAAAAGCTTATGATTGTTAATATGAAAACCAATAAAATATAGATGAAAATACATCTATAGGAACTAGTTTACCCTTTTGTTGACATCTGGTTTTCATTTATCGATTTCATTTAATCTAGCTGAGGATATCATTCTACTCAATACTAGCGTGACAGAACTATCGCATCAAATATTAAAATGACAGTGGTGTAGTAACGTTTGTTACTAATTTTAATAAAAAAATATTACAATGAAAATGGTGAGCAACATGCCGACTTTGAAGGGATAGTTTTTGGTTTATTTTAAAAGTCGGTGATGAAACCAAGCTTAACTTTAGTACGGTCATTAGCAAGCTTAAATCACAGTTCAGATAATGATGACATTCAGTTGAATTTTATAACGAAATGTATATAGGATGATGATTAAAAGACTTAGAACGCGGTAGTATACCAGTCAGTTGTTGTGTAACCGCAAATGCTGCCGGTGAGACTAAACCTGTGGGGTGTGTAGACTGGGTATTATAATACAAGACAAACAATACGAAACTGCATTATATATACATGTTTGTATTTGTTTTGCAGAAACTTTACCAAGCGTTTTATTTAGAGATAGTTTTATTCATAAAACACAAGTTATAAGACTCAATGAGTGTCATAGGAAATTTATATGATAGACACCTACACTTTAAAATTTGTAAAACTTCTGAAGCACTTGACTAACACCGTTTAAAATGACTACTCTTGACAAAAAAAAGTGTGACAAAAGAGAGCATTCATAATAGATGTGTTTTCGATTGATAAGTTCAATTAAACACAAGTGTTATATGTTAACTTTCTGAATCATTGGAATAGGGCTAAATAAATTGAAGTTCAAAAAAGATGACAATTTTTAACTGAAAATATCTCTAATTTTTAAAAATAAACTCGTCAAATAACTGCACCTTTAATTAAATAGAGGAAATCATTGTAGATTGGCTTGATAAAAAGAAACACCCGTCTAACTTAGAATAAATTCAATTGTTTCTGTCATTCCATTTTCTAAGAATAATAGTTACAGTGAGTATTAAATTTACAAGGTTCAGTCTGCATTTTGTGTTTTCCATTATTTAAATTTATAATCCCACAGGAAATTCAGCTTAAAATGAATTCTTATTCCAGAAACGTGATGTAAGAATAATATTTTTCAGCTGTTTTGCTCAAATGTAATAATTTCAAAATAGGAGTGTAAGACGTTGTTTGAAATCTACAATATCCATCTAATAAATGCGAACTTGAAAGTCCCAACGATGTAGTTGAACATATGTGTATTCGTAATTCGAACTATTTGAAAACTGTCTAACATTATAATTCCTTGGCTTCTATAGAATTTTTAATAAAAACCAAAACTTTGGCAACCAAAATTCCAAAGTTAAATTCCAAGAAATTGGCCAAAACTGTTGCATCTAGCAGGCAAATCAGTATTGATTCGCATGGACAGAAATCTCGCAACTTTAAATTTCTTCTACTAAAAATCTATTAGAGTGAAATTATTTATTTGTATTACCTTACGGGTTATCTATATAGCGCTTAACTATCATCTGTAGGCAGATCTTCATTATGAACTTTACAATACCTAGTGGTGGAATCAATAATGCAAGTTCATCCTATTTGCGACGGCGAGTGGGAGGTCCAAGGGCGACATGGAGGAGATCGTGTGAAGAGGAGTTGAAACAGTATGGGCTAACATGGATGTAGGTAAAAAGTACAGCAGAAGACAGAAGCAAGTGTAGACGCGCAGTCAAAGCCCTATGTTCCAACAGGAACCAAAGAGAACAATAATAATAATCCTATTTGCGAACTGTGAGTATAATGTCAACGCTTTCTAGTGGATTTTAGTGATCCGCTTGAAGTTAGATTTCACTGCTACCAAATTTATTAGCACTATTATTATGCAGGAAATATTCAGTCAAACTGTTAAACTCACTC